ACTTATTGTAAGCTTGAAAATTTAATGTAATTGTTTCATTGAATTTGGTTCTATTAAGTTGATAGATGTTCTTAAGATTGAATATGCTATATAACCGTCCAGAGTAAGACACATGTTTATATAAACTTTTTTTTTAACATCATGCATACAATCATGTTTTGCAACTAGAATGCTGGCCATTCTTCCTAAAAGACCCTGTGTAATGCTTCCACATATATACATTTACTTGTAATATATATATATATATATATATATATAATGTGAATATATACATATACATATAACATATATACATATAAGATAGCTATTTTTAATATATCTTTATATTTACTTACGATTCATATGTTTTTCCATTTATATACCGATTAAGAAAAAGTTCTTTGGGATGTTGCTTTACTGAGTATGAAAATTTCAAATAGGGAGTATACATTCCAACTTTTAATTGTTCGCCGATATTAAAAGTGGCAATATCTTCATTAAACTTACGCACATAGTTTTCATATTCAACGAATCCACGGTTCGCCGATTTCAAACTTGCATATATTATTTTCATATATCTTAATATATGTATACTTATATTTTGTATTGGACAACGAATATAAAAAGTGGCAATAGACTCGCCATTGTATTCTTCAGTCAAATTCGGCATCAGAGTTAGCTTCATGTTGTAATGAAGCGGTACCAGACAATCCGACGAAGTATTTATATCGATAGAAAAGACTATTACCATTACAATGATATATAATAAATTATTTAATGATAATTTTCGGAACATCATGTCACTATTCGTTCTCAATATCTGCAAAAATGTTGTTACAGTAAATATAATAACATAGAAAACAACTAAATGCAAAAGAAATGTAAAAAATTGTCGACTCCTACAAGAAAAGAAAAACAAAATATATGTAAAAGCACAACAATTTGAAAAAGAGAACAAAAGACACAATCTATTTCAATAGATGATAATTTTTAAGATTAAATTTGAAAACTTTTTTTATATATTACATTGCATTTTATACATTTTTATGACACAATGTTTTTTTAATTCAAACTTAATAAAATTATGTTCTTTTATTGGTTCAATTATTTTACTAGGCAAAGAAAATTGATACGACTCTTATGTAAAAAGCACTATTTAATTTTCTCGGTTATTAAATGTGAGAATACGTAAAATTTCAAGAAAAATTAACGTTCTTTTAAACCTAAATTGCATAGAACACGAATTTTACTTGAATGAGATACTGAATAATTAAATAATTTCAATATTAAGAAGTATATCAAGTATCTGTAATATTAAATATTAAATATTAAATACAAGAAAGGCCTAAGAGCCATACGCGGGTGTTCCTTGCGTACATTTCCAACAAAAATTAATTTTTCGTTGGAAATAAACAAAATGTACACAAGGCACATATTATGCTTGGTGTACTACCAAGACTTTATAACATGAAATATCTCATATTCAAGATTTAATTTCATAAACCCCTATATCCCCCTAAATCTCAAGTATGAGATATTTCATGTTATAAAGTCTTGGTAGTACACTAAGAATAATATGTCCCTTGTGCATATTTTGTTTATTTCCAACGAAAAATTAATTTTCGTTGGAAATGTACGTAAGAAACACTTACGTATGGCTCTTAGGCCTTTCTTATTTGTATTTAATAAATAATTTCAAGTTTGAGATGCATTTTTAATATTAATTTTTAACATTTTTGTCGAGAACTAATCTGAAAGAATAATCAATTTTAAATAGCCTAATTAATTTGTTTCGTAACTATTGGAAAACAGCAAGCAGTTATATTAAATAGATTTAATTTAAAAACATAGAGATATACAAAATATATTTTATAATAAACCTAAAATGATAAATCAAAATAATGAATGTAACTGATAAATGTAATATACTAATGAAATAAGCTAACATTAACAACTTGAAATATCGAATATTGAATAAATTATAAAACAACGTGGAAATGCTACTTCTATTAAAAATAATAAAAAGTAAAATTCTTTTTATTTTCAAAGTAAATAAATTTTAATAATGGGACAGTCTCTCCGTAACTATTCGAAAGCTAAATTATTACTTATATTCAAAAGCTATAAAAGCAGTCTTATTTAAACGAAGCAATTATAAATATTTATCACGGAAAAATTCGAAGATAAGAGAAAAGCAGAGTATATAAATCAGGTATAAAGTATTTTTAGGTGTAAAGTATTTTTATACATTCAAATTGTCAGTTAGACTTACAGCAAGTAAGTTAAATTGTGTATAATTCTATCTTTATATTAAACAGGCATACAATCATTTTTCACAATCTTATTTTTCGTAAACTTATTTTTCAAAATAATCTTGATTATATATATACGACGAAAAATAAATAGTTGAAATGAAAAGTCATGTGTTAATGTTTATAAAAATTGTATTAAATATCTTCTAGAAAATAAAAACGCGCTGTATTTGCCATGGGTTCTCATACTTTTATGTGCAAGAAATGAAATATGTATATGTTAATTTGACTTACTTTGTTTGTTGAATTAATTACTAGCTGTTATGTTTGTTGAATTAATTACTAGCCGTTATGTTTGTTGAATTAATTACTGGCCAAGAATATATTTCGCCAATCAATTCTGATCTTACTTGTTCGAGAAACCATCGACAACTGACACGTCGTTTCGGATATATTGACATATAAAGTACATATAATGTCAAGTAAACATTTCCTTAAACTTGTATATAAGAAGTGTGCTATTCAATCGATAATGTATACCTATACATATACCTGTACTTATAATGCTAGATTCCGAGAAATATTTTGATTTTTACATTTAAAATCATTTTTCTCAAAAAACATTCGAGAAATCTAATTAGGATATATATCGTACGTTCTATGTTAGAGAAGAAAAAGAATTTTGTTTTTTTTTTGCTTTTAATAAATAATTATATTTCTTGTCACAAATCACTGTATTTTGTGTAAAACATATATCACGTTTCACATTTTTCTATTTTTATCATATTTTTATTTTTACATACTATATTATACAAATGAATTGTTGAGCATTAAAAAAAATATTTCTGGCATATTTTTAAATAAAATAGCTTATTATCTTTTAAGATAAAAAGGTGTTAAATACAGAAAATTTATAACAAAATATATAACACAAAAATTATAGAAAACATTCAGTAATATTAACTTTATTTTAGAAGACAAAAAATTTCTTAGAAGATACGAAAAAAACATGCAAAATCATACAAAAAAAACGTATTTTAGATGTCAAAATTAATATTATTACATTAAAATCTCATAATAATAATGCTAATATTAACATTAATAATATTAATTATTACATTTAAATGTATTAATTAATTATTAATAATAGGTCATAAAACAAAAATTATTAATGTTTATATCTTACACACACACACGCACCTGCACACACACGCACGAGTGCGCACACACACGTTCCTATACGTATATAAAATTTAATATATGATATCAAATATATCCGCGGTTTAATAGAGTCTTATATTCAGGGTTGGGAAGTAACGAGTTACTTGTAACGAAGTTACAGCTACAATTACTTTTTTTCGGTAACTATAACTTAACTTCGTTACTTTTCTCCATCTGTAACTGTAACTGTAACTTAGTTACATTTTTTTAGTAACTAGTAACTATTTTAATAGTTACTTTATTAGTTACTTTTTTTGGAAACATGCGCTAAAAGTATTGTTTAAGTATGGTAGCCGTTATATTATTAAATTAAATTTTGATAACAGTAGCATATGGATCTTCATATGACTTAATCTTTTACCTAAAATTTTCATTTTGTGTACATAAAATAATATAACACATAATTAAGATCGACCAATCACAGTCAAATATTTAAAAAATTCTTAAAGGTAATAATTGATCGATTTGCTTGCGACTTTGCGATTACCATTTAGTAACTTACTATAACTATTTTTACTGTTGTATATAAAGGTCATTCATACATTGATGTTAATTGCAAAGTCGCAAGCAAATCGATCAATATTACATTCAAGAATTTTTTAAATACTTGACTGTAATTGTGCATAAAATGTAAGCTTCTTATATTTAAAACAATGTATAATTATTTTTAAAAGTAACTGAAAAGTAACGACTCGTTACTTTTAGAGTAACTGTAACTGTAACGAGCTATTTTTTTAAATCGGTAACTTGTAACTGTAACTAGTTACTTTTTCAATGAAATAACTGTAACTGTAACTAGTTACTTTTACAAAGTAACTTTCCCAACCCTGCTTATATTTAATAGTCATATATTATTATATATTGTTACATGTTATATACATATATATAATAGTCTCCAATAACTCGTCTAAGAGTCTTGACGTGTTGTCAAACCGACACTATGTTCGTTCTTGACATCTTAAAATTATAATTTTATTTTTATTTTTACAAATCACTTGATAAGGACTCAAAGAAGGGTCGAAACGTTGTGATTGAATAAATAATATTTGCCAGTACGGTCGAGAGAAGAATTTTACCTTTTTTTATACATATATATGTATATATACATTTATATATGTATATATATATATATATATATTTATTATGCCAAAATATATTAATAATAAGAAAACAACGTCGGCGAAGCGTTTTTCTGTGGCACAGAAAATGCGTCGTATGCGACAAAAAAGTGACAGGAATTCTTGTGACAATTCTTTCGTAATTGAAGAAAAAATTGAGGCCTCCGGAAAAAGATCATTGGACTGCGTATCGAATTTCATAGAAATTCCAGGTACGTCACATCAATTATATGCATGCAAGAATAAAAGAAATGTAGATGACGGCATGTTAACATCATTATCTCTTATAGGAACATTTCCTCAATCTGTCGATGCATGCGTGACATAAAAATTTCAATCTGAAAAAAATATTAATATTTTCGATGATGATGATTCTGTGGGATCAATATCAGACGTTCGTCAATTTTGTCAAAATTTAACAAGTTTGTCGATGAACGAACCGCACGCATATACAGATGAGAGAAATGTGACGACAGATAATGATGCGTTCACACCACAGTCGTTGAATGCATTTCTTGATAATTCTATAGATGCATGTACACTGATGGAATTGGAAAGTACAATGCAAAGCAATATTGAAGATATTGAAGACGTCGAAAATGTTGAAGACGTTAACAATGTCGAAGATATCGAAAATGTCGAAGACATTGAAAATGTCGAAGATATCGAAAATATTGTTTTGCATACAGATAGGAATATCGACGCATATCGTTTATATTCTGAAGAGATTAGTGGACGACATATCGTCGATTTTGGGCATGTTTTTGCTGAATTGCAAAGACTGTCCACTCATTGGCTCGGCGAATGTCGTTTTACTGATCTCGTATTGAGCATAAAGAACCATGACGGTCTGAAAACCCAATTTTCTGTCAAATGTCGAATGTGTCACACCACAGGTGACTTTTGGAGTGAACCAAAAGACGACAGAAAATTGGATGTCAATAATGGTATCGTATCCGGTACTATATTGACAGGGACTGGTCATAAGCAGCTTGAAGAACTTCTTGCTGCTGCAGATATTGCATGCATGAACAATAAAAAATATATAAAGCATCATAACGAAATGTCGGAAGCCTTCGCCGCCGCCGCGGAAGAAGAAATGCGCGTGGCTGGCGAAGAGGAAAAACGTTTGGCAATTGAAAGAGGAGATGTCATAGACGGCATTCCGCATATACCCGTGATAACAGACGGCTCGTGGATGAAGAGATCCTATCGTACTGGTAGTTACGATTCTCCATCTGGAGCAGCTATTATTACGGGATATTATTCAAAAAAAGTTTTATTTGTCGGTGTCCGGAATAAATATTGTATCATCTGTGCAATAGCAGCTAAACTTTTTTTAAAACCAAAAGAACATAAATGTTATAAAAATTAGGGAAATAATCAAAGCTTGACAAGTATGGAAAGTGATATAATCCTTGAAGGCTTCCGACATAGCTTAGAAATGCATGGATTAATTTATAGTAAATATATTGGCGACGGAGATAGTAATGTAGCAAAAAAATTGAGAGATTTTCCACCATACCCGAATATTATTGTGGAGAAGATTGAATGCACAAATCATCTTCTCCGCAATTTATGTAATAAAGTACGCGAAGCGGGTAGTAGTGGTGGTAGAAATATCGCAAAATTAAAACAAATCGTTTCAAACAGCTCGATGAAAATTCGAAACGCTATAGTAAAGGCTGTAACGTTTCGCCGCAATAGTAAAGCATCTTGGAAACAAAAAATTGCTGGATTAATTAAAGATTTACAAAATATACCTAGCCATGTATTTGGTGAGCATAAAGATTGCCTTTCTCTTCAATATTTTTGTACTAGTGAACGAAAAGAAGGTGAAGAAAATCTTGTGCCCCAATTACAAAAGGCAGGATTATATTTACAAATAGAAGTTGCAATGAAACGCATTATAACAAATGCTGATAGTTTATTATGTCAATTTACTAGTAATTCCTTGGAAAGTTGCAATGAAATTATTAGTAAATTTATTGGCGGCAAACGTATTCATTTTGTAAGGAGAGGATCTTATGAAACACGCGTAAAAGCTTCTGTAGTACAATTTAATACTTGGGAAGCATTGAGTTCTACTTGTCGTATAATGGGTAAAGAGCCACCTGCACGTACCAAAATAGTAGAAAATCGAAATATAAAAAAGAATAATACTTATCAGGAACGCGCACACGCAGCAAAAAAATTAGGTCTCTCTGTTCGTATTATATATATATATATATATATAATTCTATATTATATATATGCCCATTCTATATTATATATATATATATATATATATATATATATATGTAATATTAAATTTATTGTGACAATTATTTTATGTTATACTTTTGTTTTGAAAATAGTGCATTGCAAATTATTAGATCGCAATTTGAACTGAGGTGATTGCGTCGCAAAGTGTTAATATATCAGATAGGTTTTGTTTTGCAATGTACTATTTTCAAAAATATTTAGTAATAGATAGATAAATTACAAGATACAAGTATAGAAACACATAATAAACAAAGTTGCATATAAAGTAAAAAATATTTTATAGTGCAAGTATACTTCCCATAATATGGTTGAGGTTACTTTGCGACGCAATCATTTAACTTAGTTTAAATTGCGATCCACTCGAATTATATTAATTCATGTTGTTTATTAAATATGTATAGAAACAATAGCAATTACATAAATTTAAGTTTTTATTAACTTCAAATTATAGAAAAGATATTTAAATGTATGTTTATATGTACATTGCTTGCTATTGTTTACTGTACATTGTATACATATTATTATATATCTTTATCCCACACACATAAGATGAGTAATCGTACTACATTAAAAACTTTAAAATAAAAAGATTTCAAAAATAAAATACAATCAAATATATAATTCATAGATTGTTTTATTGCATTGAAAAAAATTGCATATATCAGACTTTTATTAACATTTCTTGTTATTTATTTTATATTTTTATATTTATATTACATTTTTTAAAAATATTTTGTATTAAATATTTATATATAACAATTTTCGGGATAAGAATATGTAACCATATGTTGTAGCGCTTTTATTGTTGTGTTTCCGATAAGCGCAAAAAATTATGATGTTATTTTAAGTAATTAATATTTTAATATTATATAATTTACATTGTTTTTCTTTCAGATTTTATAATAAATAATTTTTTTATTATATTTATCTTTATGCAGCATAGAGTTGTTTGTTGCAGATAGATTTAGAGATGTCTGAAAGGCGGATCACTTTCAATGAAGAGGCGTGGATACCTTTGAATCAACGCCATTATATTGTAGCAGGTCACAAACTTGAGTTCAAATATATCAATATCAATTTTTTTACAATATATTAGAATATAGAAAAATTATAGAAATATAAGGCAATAAACTTGAAAATTTTTAAATATTGAAAATATTTTAATTATTTTTACAATTACATACACTATATATATATATATATATATATATATATATATATATATAAATGCAAAATAAGTCCGTAAATAAATTTATCAAGTAATAAATCCGTTGCATGCTTGCAGCTACATATGCACACACAAATAGCTGGTATATTGATTTTTATTAAAAATTTATTTTCTGTATTATTTTGCATTTATATAGTGTGTATGTGGGTGTGTGTGTGTGTGTGTGTGTGTGTGTGTGTGTGCGTGTGCGCGCGCGCGTGTAGTAAAAATATTTTCAATATATTTATAAAATTTTTATTGCCGAAATATATTTTTTTATCATTTCTCTGTATTCCAATATATTATTAAAAAATTGATATGGATATATTTGAACTCTAATAATTTACTGGGTGATACATACTGAACATCCTTTGCATTGATCAATATTACTCGACATAAGTTCTTTTATGTTATAAGTATTTATATGAAGCAAATTATACAATAACGTCAATAATAGAAAAGAAATCAAGAATAACCAACGCATATTCGTCAATCTATGATTGCTATACAAGCTAATAATAATTTATATTTGTTCTCTTATTCTTGTTTCTCGAAAAAGTATAAGCAATAAATTATCAAATCTAACAAGTACCCGTGTCTAACATTGTAGACTAATTTACTTTCAATTATGCTACTGTTATTATTTATCATTAGACAATTATAAAACATATATATATATATATATAGCACTACAAATTATATATGTATATGTTTTATAATTTATTTTATATTTTATTATTTGACAAGTTAAATCTCTCCGAATCATAATTTGCGCTTACATCTTAAAGACAAAATGCTGTAACTCTCTGATATTCCAATCTGTATTTTTGAAAAGGACCACATCCCGTATGGTCGAAACGTTAAAATAAATATATATACAACTTTAATTTGAGGCCAGTGTAGTCAGACCAAATCTATAACCTCTGTTTTATAATTGTCTAATGATAAATAATAACAGTAGCATATATAATTGAGAGTAAATTAGTAAATTTTATATATATATATATATTTATATATAAATAATATATCCACATATGTGCATAAGCATATATAAAATTTACAAAATGTAGATACTTATTAGTCTTGCTACGTTACTGCTTTCTGCTACGGAAGGCCAGGGGGTCGATTGTGTATCTCAAAACCTAGTGAAAATGACAAAAGTGAGCATTCACTTGATTGGCTAATTTTCACTATAATGAAAACACGAAATATTTCACGTGAGATTATTCGACAAGAATTATTGTGTCGAATAATGTCAAAATGTGTCGTATATCCTACTGCATTATATGTTATGTAGAGTAGAGCGCGATTAAAATACGTATTAAAAGAGAGGACATTACATTATACACCAGAATTTGCTGGTATGTAAATAATTATAGTGCATAATTGAGATAAGAAAAGGTATTTTTTAAATCTATTCTTTACAGCTCTAATTGTAAATGCATGTTGTGTTTTACATAACATTGCTTATAAATGGAGAATTCCATTAAATGAAATATATTTGGAGGAAGAAGGAGAAGTGCCGATACCATTTAATGATATAAATATAATGCAAGCAGAAGAAGTACGAATTAAGAAATATTGTGTGATGGTATTTTGAATAGGATATATAAATATATATATATATATATTTATATATATATTTATCACATAAATTGTATCACATAAAATTAGTACATTTCATAATCTTATAATAAATTAATAATTAAGATTATCACAGTACATTTCTTAACTTTATAATAAAAGATTTTTAAACACTACTTTTTTATTAATGTATTGTTTTATATCGATCAATTCTCATAACACGCCGCGTCAATTTTATTCAAGCATGTTCAAAAATGTATCCGCCCCCGACCGAAATCCGAATGTTTATTCATAAAATTTAACATAATTTCTTTTTTTAAAAAACTCCATCTTCATCTCGACTAAGAGCCAAACGCGATGTTAATGCGACAAATTAATATTTAGAAATTTTTTTTTTTTTTTTTTTTTTTTTTGGAAACAGAGGAATTTGAATCCTATGGTTGGGATCTCAGAAATTCCCCTTGTTCCTTCTCTTAACATCCCCTGTAAGAAAAAGACGAGAAAAATATTGGTCCGAAAGTTGGCTGAATCGGGAATCGAACCCGAGACCTTCCGCTTGCCGGGCGACTGCTCTTCCAGCTGAGCTATTCAGACACTTACAAATCAATATTTCTCTCAATGTTTATAACCCCCCACCCCCTACCAAGGCGTCGTACCTGGTCTAAACGCAACAAACATTAATAAGAATATTTGTCAGTCAGCTCTCCTATTTTTTTTTTTTAAACTCCATCTTCATCTCGACTAAGAGCCAAACGCGATGTTAATGCGACAAATTAATATTTAGAAAAATTTTCCAAAAAAAAAAAAAAAAATTTCTAAAAACTCCATCTTCATCTCGACTAAGAGCCAAACGCGATGTTAATGCGACAAATTAATATTTAGAAAAATTTTCCAAAAAAAAAAAAAAAAAAAAAAATTTTTCTAAATATTAATTTGTCGCATTAACATCGCGTTTGGCTCTTAGTCGAGATGAAGATAGAGTTTAAAAAAAAAAAATAGGAGAGCTGACTGACAAATATTCTTATTAATGTTTGTTGCGTTTAGACTAGGTACGACGCCTTGGTGGGGGGTGGGGGGTTATAAACATTGAGAGAAATATTGATTTGTAAGTGTCTGAATAGCTCAGCTGGAAGAGCAGTCGCCCGGCAAGCGGAAGGTCTCGGGTTCGATTCCCGATTCAGCCAACTTTCGGACCAATATTTTTCTCGTCTTTTTCTTACAGGGGATGTTAAGAGAAGGAACAAGGGGAATTTCTGAGATCCCAACCATAGGATTCAAATTCCTCTGTTTCCAAAAAAAAAAAAAAAAAAAAAATTTTCTAAATATTAATTTGTCGCATTAACATCGCGTTTGGCTCTTAGTCGAGATGAAGATGGAGTTTTTTAAAAAAAAATA